AAGGAAGGAAGGAAGGAAGGAAGGAAGGAAGGAAGGAAGGAAGGAAGGAAGGAAGTTCAAAGTGATACATGACATGAAAAGAGGAGATGGAAAGTGATGGTAATATAAATGGAAAGTGAGAAGGATATAGCAAAAGGACTCTCACTGCACAGTGGTCTTGTTTGGGAGGGTATCTGTAAAGAATGGTCTTGATCACCTGAAAGAAGGCCTAATTCTCATCACAGTCAAATGTGATGCCCCTTGTGCTAGTTTGCTGGTTTTGGTTGAACCCCAATGCACATACACTTATTAACATCTATTTTATAGCCAAAGCAGTGCCATATACTGAGTTTTTGTTGACTGTAGTAGTAATTGACCCATGTATGGATGTACACATTTGATTTATATGTCAGCCAGATGGAGAAAATACTCAACTGAGAATTTCCATCTGGGAAAGCAGCAGCTTGTTCAATAAGCTGAATGCCATGAATGGAATCAATTATGTGCCTTTCTGCATTCTGGATGTAGATGTCCAGTCAACTACATACTCATATTCAAATTGTGGAAAGATAGCCATTCATACACGCGCCACTGACTATCCTGTAAGAGGATAGCCAATTAATTGCTGGAAAGATGGGGACATAAATCGATATCCAAGGCACTTAAAATCGAAAGAACTGGGACCTCCAACTAGATGAGAGAGAGATGCTTTGATCATGGTCACCAGACTGACCCAGAAACTGGAATTTTATGGATCTAGGTAATATTCCCTCTGAAAACCCAGCTTTGTAGTTTGAGTTCTGTCTCAGATCTCAACTTGATCTTGACCTGGGAAGCCCAAGCTGAGGCAACCTCTGGCCAGGATTAAAAAAAGAAATGTTCCATCTGAATATCTGTTCCAATTAATCCAGCTCGTACTTCTGGAACCTACCTCTCAACTGAGTCTCCTTTGAATCAGGTTTGAGTACTGGTGACTTCAGAGACATGCCTGTGTTGTTTTCATTGCAATCATATAAAGCTAGTTGACAATTGTCTTCTTCTGGAATGCCTTTTCAACTTCTCAGTGTAGCTTGGCTTTCCTTAGCAGTCTTCCATCCAAAAATGAATTAATTCCATGCCTGCTTAGTTTTTTGAGATCACCAGGGTCAGCTGTCACCATTAGCTGCTGCCTATTGTAGATCCTGATCAGGATGCATATCCATCCTGCAATTGCCAAATTCATGGGAAAACAGAGTCAAAATGAATTTGCAGACAATGAGAAACTGACTGAAAATGACATTGACAGATTTACCCATCACCAGCTGGCCCAATAGTCCCTTTCTGATAGTCCATTTGAATTTAGCTGCCCTCATTTTTCCCCAAGTGAACCCATAACTGCCATGCGCACGTGACGTTTTTATGTTCAACAACGCATACAAATGAGTCGGATTTCTTTCCTTCCAATAGCATTGTCCCTAGATCAGGGGATGACATGCATTTGGTAACTGGGGACTGCAGTTAAAACTTGAAGGGCAGGTATGCAAAGGGCTGGACCAAACCAAGAAAAAAGGAAAGTCTAGGCCTTGCTCATGTGTGAACCATAGACCTATAGCTTATATACAAGCAGGCCTAAATTCTTTCTTCCCCATGTTTCATAGGGTTCATGTTCTGCTCTGTTAACATCAATTGAGAGGTAGGGCTCATGCTGATGTTTGCACACTTTCCCCATGTCAACATGGCAGGAAATTGCACCACCAAAATTGATATGGTAAAAAAAAAAAAGGGTGGCAAGTTCAAAGGAATGAACTATACATTGTCTACCCTTGCACTAGAAGAAAACTCCATTTAAGACACCGCTCAGTGCATGCCTTTTTACATTGCCATGCGGATCCCTTATCAAAAGAAAACATGTCCTCAATTTTTGCATGTTACTAGACCATGTCAGTAAGATAGTCATCAACATAGTGTTTATGGAGTTAATGATGAACTATGCCTCCACTTTTTCCCCGAAGGACAGGGAGGCTCAAGAAAATGGCAATACATAAAACTTTGTTCATCCTCTTTATAATCCCCTTTCTGTTGGCTAAAGGCATTTTCTCTGCAGATTTTTTTTCCTGTCAGTTGTAATAAAAGTCAGTAAAAGTAACAACAGTATTAATGAGTTGTTGCTGTTTGCTTTCAGCAAAGGCTGTGTTGTAAGACAACTTCCTGAGCAAGGCATTAGTAATTTTAGTGGCACCATTCAAAGCTTTCTGTCTCCTCTTCCATCCTTTGGATTTGGACATTGGCCACTCTTTTTCATGACTGGATTCACACTTTCCACTGAACTGTGATTTGTGTGATACTGTGATTTGTTTGGTTGAGCTAAGCACATAGTCTAGTCAGTAAATTATGATCCAGTCTATTTATTTAACAAATTTCTATACTGAAGTTTAATTTTAAATCACAGTTAAACCAGGACTTAGCACAAGTGAAACTGGCCCATGAATTGTGTGTGGTGCAACATCAGTTAAAACAGAAAAATAGCAGCAACTTGAAAAAAGAGACAGACTAATCCATACATTCTTAGATAATTCCGCCTTTGAGCAGGAATCTCACAGCCCTAACTCTTACCAATATGGTAAAAGGTTGGTTTTAATTTCTAAAGTTCCCAACAAAATATGTAGATGAGAGAGAAGCCTCATTTTCTCTTCCTCCCTCGCAGATATTTTTTCTTTTTATTGTATATTTGACCCACAGAATGAATGAAAGCTTGTTCTGTTCCTACCTGCAAACCTGATCAATGTCTGCCTTCTGTTTTACAGTAGATATTTCACAAGCATTCTTAAGAAGCTGCTTTTTAGGCAGACTTACCAGTAAACCAAATAACTAATGTTCTCATCCAAGACTCAAGACATGTAGGCTGGATTCACATATTATACAAAATCAAAGTGGCCAGCATTACAATTTGAACTGTGCATACATTAAATATGTATACATTACATTTTTAAAAACATTCTCTACTCCTCACATCATTGTCTTATTTTTGTGAGCATGAACCATCTATGTTCAAATTAGTGAGGCCCAGCTACTTAGGAAGATTCACCAAATAACACCTTACCGAGTTTCCTGAAGCCCATGGGGCATTTCCACAACTATTCTGGTTTACAAATGGTAAATTAAAAAGTTGCTGGCTAGAAAGGGGAGCTCAGGATTTTGAAAAAGAACGAACCTGTGCTACTTCCTCATTCTGCACACAAAACATGATTCAAACTTTTGTTTCCAGAGGCATTTGCAGGATCAAAGGCTCTTGCCAGAACAACTAAGTCAGCATCATACTGTCACGATACAAGCTCTACCCCTTTCGTACATATAATATCACAATGCACACAGAAGCTTTATCACAATGGTGCTATGTTGCTTTCATCCTACCTCCCCCCCCCC